GAATCGATCGGAAGCCTCTGAATCAATTCAGAAAAAATTTGGAGAAAGATTCGTAAATTCAGGCAGTCTTCATTCACTGCCGCAGGGAGCTGGACCCAGATTCCATGCCAGTAAGTGGGAGGGAGGTGGGGACAGACCATGAGGGGACCCCCGCCAGGCCCCATCACCTGCCTGCTCCCCCAGTTCCATGAAGTGCCCCCTGACCCCCACCTGCTCTCCCAGCCCCATCAATGGCTGCCCCACCCAACCCCAACATCCCAGCACTTGGGGGGAGGGGGGGCAGCGCCCTGTATTCACTGTGGCTGTGGCAGTGGCCATCAGGACCTCTGGAGGCTCACTGCAGAGCCCCCTATAGAGTGCAGGGAGTGGGGGGCAGCACGGATGGCCCCCCTACCTGGCAGGAGCCACTGAGTGTGGGGTTTTTTTGTTTTTGTTTTTTGTTTGTTTGTTTGTTTTGTTTTTTGTTTTTTAAGGAAGTCAGGACACTGGGGCCGGGCAGCCATTGACAGGGCTGGGAGAGCAGGCGGAGATGGGGCCTGTTCAGTTTGGATCTCCAGTTTAGATCTCCAAATCAGATTCAGCCGAATGCATTTGGGACAGTTTGGGAATCCAAATCCAAAGCGAATACTAGCCACTTCGCACAGGCCTATGCAGGACCTTGGTCATTAGTTGTATTGTCAAAGCACTTCACTTGGAAATTTTGGATAAAATTTTTCCAGATAATGCAAGTACCTTCTATAAAACTTCCAAGTCTCACACTTGCACAGCAGCATGGTAACAATAATGGCTCTATATGCCTTTAGTCTGGTGAAAAACCTGATACCACTTTGACTCCATACTCAGTTTTTAACCCTGTCAAAGGTCTTTGGCAGGCTATATTAGCTTTCTGGACTCAAGAAACTACTTTGACATGAACCTTAAGATGGCCATTTGAAACACTTCAAGTGTGTTCAGCCTCATGAACACCTGGAAGCTGAAATCTGCCAACTGATATGGAAAATGCAATACACTGTCTTCTAAGAATTTGTTTGATTATAACTTGTTTTCTTTAAATTGATGGTTTGTTCACAGTTAGCTATGGAAACAGAAAAATGATTTACCACCAGCTGAACATCATCTGCAAGCAGATCACCAGCACAGTCATCAGTGTGCAGATGCTCCTACATAGTCTGTAAACTTTATTGACGACTTTTTTTTTTTTTAAACACTCATCTATGTTTTTACTGACATGTTTTATACAATGTCAATGCAACTCTTCTGCCAGGCCCTGGATGGCAGTAACAAGGGTGGAGTTCAAATTTATAGTAAGGAAGTTTGGTTGCCAGCAAAAGAATTTGTAGATTGTAAGTTGAAAAAAAAAAAAAATCTTGGGCAGCTACCCTGATACTGACACTCCTTAAAACTAACATTAAAAAAAAAAAATTCTGAGGGACTGCAGATAAGAAGTTGAAAAGCTATTTTTTGATTGGAAGCTGTCATCTGGGCATCAGTGATGACAGCATATGAAATAACTTCAGGCATGGACCTTCAAAAGTATTTAGGATCCTCTTCCCTGTTCCCAGCCTGGAACTTTACCTAAGCAGCCCCTGCTGCTCCTCTGGGGACTTGCATACCAGCAACCTGCCAGGAGAAGCAGTGAGTAGAATTCCCTAAAAGAGCAACTGCAGGTGCCGCTTGTTTGCAGGACTGATGGAGGCAGAGGTGCTGACCAGGGGAGGAATGAGCATTTATCTCCTTGCTGCTACACCCTTAAAGGGATCTCAAGGCATCCCAACACGCCATGGTACCCCAGTTAAACACTTGACTATAGTCTTCACTTTGAACCTTATCTTCCAAAGGAAGATATTCCAGGAATTAGGTTGATACTCTGCCTTCTCTAGAAGATTCAAGTACTAAGTACAGTATATTGTATATACTTCATGATCGGTGTTGGGTTTTTTTGGGTCCCATTCATGTAATTCTCCTGGTTTGGTCAGCAGGAGAAGCCTGAAGTCCTTCTGCTGCAGCCATCAATTCCATAACAAAGACTGACAACATCCAGGACCCATTTGTATTGATCCAATTGTTTGCAAATTCCTGCAGCATCACCCTTGAAGAACTATGTCTAAATAAGTCAGGTTACTTGAAGGAAGCTAAGCAGATTCCTGTGGAATCTCCTTTACCTTCATCTTGTTCTATTATTTCTGCTTCACATCTCTCTTGGCACATTTAGCTATGTAGGTGCTCAAAGGAACGCTATGATCTGTAAATAAGACCTGGGTTCCTTTTTTGAGCTCTTAGGTATTGCCTAGGTTTTCAGCAATTTTGCCGACAGGCTCATTAAGAAGCTTTTATCCCACATACTTACATTACCAGTTTTGCTTCTGAATCAACTTTCCGTGGCTTTAGCTATAGCTTATGCTATAAGGCAGAGTTTTATCTCACTGCCCCTTCATCGAGTCTAAGCAACTTCCCCTATGAAAACTGCTGCTAATGAAGTCCCATGGCTCTGAGTCTATAAGACCTTCTAATCTTGACAGGTCCAGCAGGAAGTTAGTCTATGCCAAAATGGCTCTTGCACATGAAACAGATGCACTGGATGCATTCAGACCCAAGATAACTTCAAAAGTTCCTTCTCAGGGAGGCTTAATTCTTCTGGGAATCTGGTCACCAAAAAGGACGTCACAAACTACTCTCACAGCTCTGTCCTTAAGCCATGAAATTAATACACCACCTTTTAGTAAGGTAAACTGTTCAAAATTTTGCCTTATGGATATACTAGTATTCTTTGACTAGGTTCTTTGGCTTTTGATGGGTTTTACCCCAAAACATTATCTACACTCTCAGAGATTTCAAAATTAACATTAAGTATTTGCAAGAGGCCTCATTCGTTTTTCTGACCACTTTATCAAATGCCTCCTAAACCAAGTTGATCTCGAGGAAAGCCAAGACATGCCATCACCTTTAAAACATATTTGAAAAAAAAAAATTTTGTTTAATATCAGACTGATTTAAATTGACTCTTTAAGGGCTCTGACAAAGTCTGAAAGCTGACCTTCCTTCCAGCCTTTTTTCTTGTTCTTTTTGTAACACTTATTTTTGAAAGATCTATATCACTGGAACTTGAGGAAAAGGATCTAGCATAGTTTGTACCACTTCCACACCTTCAATGTCTATCCAGGTTGCAGTGACTGGCTTCATTCAGGAATGCGCTGATGATCAGATAAATTCAGTGGTTTGATCAGAGAGACACTTTTCTTCCTTAAAAATAAGGAAATACAGCCTACACAAGGAAGCCTGTCTCAGGTTCTGAAAAGGAAGGGATCTTCAGATTTTTTTTAGCTTTCTTTTGTAGCTATCTAGTATCTGGAGGCAAATTTTACACAGTATTTGACTACATGATGGAATTCCACTAATACCATTAATGGCATTAGTTATCAGCCAGAGAAGCCCTAAGGATCTCGTAAGGCATGTAACTGGAATACTCTGCCTGCAGAGCCCAGCAGCAATTTGAGGCAGAATACAAACGGGGATGAAGAAGCAGATTCACAGTCAAACAAAGTTCTGAACAAAAAGACACCCAATAAAACCTTCCCTAAGAAAATGAAAAGCAAAGTGTACTTTTGCAGTATCTATGGATAAGTAAGCTCCTTTAAACTATACGTTTGAAAGACCTCCAGTAACCAACCATACCAAGTAAACTTACAAATTACAACGTTTTCTGTGTATCTTCTCATCCTCTAAATAACTACCAACACAAGGGTTCAGATATCTGACTCCAGTTCAAGAACTAGTGACAAATAGTGCAAGGAATGAGCTGCCCTGCTTCTTTCAGGTGTTTTTCCCCAGATATTACAAGACATTTAAAACTTCAGGGATAGGTTTTTTAACAAAAGTTTTGTTTTGCATACTCTGGAAAGGTACTGACATTTAATAGAAATCATCTGTATATACTACTTCATGGAAGCAACTTACTAAAACTTGTTGTCAGGGAGGCTCAAATTAATAAAATATTTTGAACTAGCCCATGAAAGCTACTGTTCATATTTAAGAGTCACAATGAAGTAGCAGCATATTGCTAATATAGTATTTTTTTTAACTGGAATATCCTACTCTGCAATAATCTTGAACAGTCCAAGAAATGCCTCAAAACCATTTCTGGAATCCTTGATCAACGGTCCACAACTGCTCAATTGTTTTAATCTCTTAACACAAAGCTTTTAAGAGTCAAGAAATCCAATAAGTTAAATTCTTATTTCTAACAAATTAAAATGACAGTGTATACCTCTGGCAAATGGGAAATCGATAGATCTATGTTTCTCCGAGACTGCATTCAACATGGTGCAAACAGAAAAAGTCTAAAGCATTTGCACTGACATGGATATGGAGGCTGCTCACTGGGCTCCACCTCAACCTAGCATCACTATCATCATCCTACTACAATGTACTAACATTTTATTTAAATTGTCTGTCAAACTACTCTCACTGAATGGTAAGGCTTGTTCCACTAAAATGCAACATTTCTCAAAGCATGTCAAAAGCACGTAATCTGTTTCCAAAACCTAAATAAAACAAAACAGCTAAATAAAACAGCGTAGCAACGTTAATAAGGATTCAATGGGACTCTTAGCATTATTCAACCTGAGTAAATTTATCACCATCCAGTCCTAACTTTCTGAAACTGATATCAATTTGTACACTTCAGTAGTCTCTCTGACTAATATCAAAACCAAATAAGCCACACAAAAGTAACACCACTGAATTTTGACAATTTCCTTTTACAACAGTGCAAAACCATCGTCAAACCACAAAGCTGAGGTCAAGGTCCAAATTTCCCAGATGGTCAAGGACATTTGGACCCTGACTGCTGTTGTAAGCCCATCGCTAGGCATGCCAAGTACTTGGTTATAGTACTATTTCCAAAACTCTGTCACATTTAGGGTTCTGTATAAATCCAAAACAAGCCTAATACTTAAGGTAATGTTAATAGTTGATTTAAAATAATACAATGCTGCCATCACCTGCCGTTGCTGGGTTGCTGTGGAGAATGTCTGGAATGGTCTGAAGGCTCTGACCTCTGGTCAGGAGATCGTGAACGACTGCGGCGGGGCCTGTCATGTGATCGATTGGAATGATCGGATGCCAGCGACTGAATTTCTGAAATGTCTGTTAAATAAAAGTTGTTTTTTCATGAAATGATTGCAAGAAAAATGATGATGCTGCCTGTCCAAAATGGAAATAAGCTTTTGCAGAGAATTCATATGAAGCATGTTAGAACTTTTGTATTCATTTCAAAACACATCACCTAGAGTTCGCATGCTCTTTCTTGCCAGGTTTTATTTAGTCTTTTTCCATATCCTTACAGTATGAATTCCAATAGTGTTTGCACATATTTATCAACTTATTCCATCTAATTCTTTTCTGCCTTCCCATCCCACAACCTCCCTCCCACAAGGATTTCACATCCTCGTGATATAGAGAATGAACAATACATTTTTCCCTTTGATAACAAAGTCTTTACTCACCATCTCTTTCTGAAGCATTAGCAGAGTGAATGCTGTCAGAAAGATCAGGGACATTCAAGAGCGTTGCTCGCTCATCACGCTGAACCACCATTTTCAACTTGCCTTTTGACCTTTCTATTAGTGTCTTTGCATCTGCCAAAGACATATTTTCTGTGACTGTGCCATTTATCTGCAACAGAGTAAAAAGTCTACAGATAGGAACTGAATGAAAAACCAACAGAACTCTATTAAATACTACTGGTAAAAAAAAGTCTCCTCATTTGTAACTCAGACTTTGACACAGTAATAGCCTATTTAATAAATAAACATTCTACATGTCCAATAACATTTTTCATTAGAAAACAGAAGCAAGCAACTAAAAAGAGTTCAAGTTTAAAAAGGCTACCCAAAAAGAAGCTAGAGTTTTTGCAGTATTTTAATCTGCAGAACTGATGCCTAGAGAGTTATTTCTTATCTAGCAGCAATCCTTAAATATCCGAGTCCTCATTTTGCCAACACTTTCTTTGCAATGCAGGCTCCCAACAGAATTAGCCAATTCAATTTCCCTTCAGCTATCCAAAAAAATTAAGCCCTAAGAGAATATCTTAAGAGCCAGATTTCAACCTGACAGGATTTTAATATATCCAATATTATTTAATAATGCAAACTGAATAAGCCTAAGTATTATACTGAGTATATTATACAATATAAAAAATATGGATGGAAGACTCTCTGTGAACAGCATAAATAGTACAAAAAAAGCTGAAGTTCACCTTTTTAAATAGTCATCTTACCATTTAAATGCTTAAGAAAACCACAGTATTTACTTTTACATGCATTAAAATCAACATCAAGTGGAGACTTTGCATGTGTGTTAAATGCACTAATGGTTAAAGACTTGTGGCAATGACCTCAGATGAAACCTGTTAAAGAGGAATTAAAACCCCTTGCTAATTTGGTTTATATTAAATTAAATACAGGTTTCCCTTACCAACCACGGTTTTGCCAATCACGGTTTTAAGTATCCACACTTAATATTCTATATACCATTTTGGCTACCACGGTATACAGTTTTGAGTAACCAGGGTTTTCCATGGCTGTGAATCAGCCCGCCACCTGCCATTTTTCCCCTAAGCCTTTTTTGTCTTGCCAACTACAGTTTTGCCAACTATGGAAGCTTTCAGGAACCTAACCCCAGAGGTTGGTGAGGGAAGCCTGTATGTCCCAAGGCAACTAGTTGCGATTATACTAATGGATGATTTAGCGTCAGAATTGCTGATCTAAATGCAAATCCTGAAAAAGCTTTTTCTCAATGGCCACACTGGGACTACACACAAGTACATGCTAATCACTTAAATAAAGGGTCCAGAATTAGACTTTTTGCTATGAAGCAGAAGCAGTGATTTTCTGGTTGAGGAAACGGACTTGAATTTATCTTTTTACCTTCTCAGAAAAACCAGAATGGGAAAAATAGTGTCTGACATTTCTTCTGTTGACAGTATCATACAGTTTTGAGACGCCTGCTTTTCTAAATCAATGCATTTCTCCCCCCCTTACCAAGCAAAATTACCCATTTTCAGTACCTTCAATACAACATCTCCTTCCTGAATGTTGCCATCTCTTGCTGCCAAGCTATCTTGTGATATTTCCTTCACAAATATATGACTGGCCAAGCGCAAACCATACTCTATTTGGAATTAAAAAAAAAAAAAAAAAAAAAATAAAAAAAA